TAGAGTTTTAAATAGAAACTTTCCATTCAAAAGACCATTTTTGCATTCCATGCTCTACCTAGCATCCGCCGACTGAGCATTAACGTTCTTGTTTATGTAGGCTATGGAACGCCAGGAGGGCAAAAGGAAAGTACGGAAGCCTGCGCGTTAATCACACATTAATTAAATTAATGCTGTTAAAAGGAGCTTTGCATTAATGCATTAAAAACACATTTATTTTGACAGCCCTAATATATATATGTGACAGTGTGAGCGTCCTGTCACAATGTCCCGATTGATCATGCGCCCTGGCTACTTGGCCAATGGGATGTCGCTTTGGCTGACTGGTTAGAGCGTATGACTCTCACCCGGGAGTCTGGGGATCAAATCCCGCCCGGGCCCTCGTTTCTCCACCTTGTCACACACACACACACACACACACACACACACACACACACACACACACACACACACACACACACACATATCGGAATATATTGACTTTTTTTAAGCAAACAGCTTCTTTCCCTTATTGGAGCCACTAGGATAACTCCGTTTCATGCTTACTGTTTTGACTTCCGCGTTGAATTTGTTATGAACTCTTCCACCTTTCTTCTTCTTTTTCTTCTTTTTCTTCTTTTTCTTCTTCTTCTTCTTCTTCTTCTTCTTTGTGCTCTTAAGGCACTTGACAAACGACAATTTGGTGCATTACCACCACCAACTGGATTGGAATGGAATGACTACCAATCGCTTCCTGTTTGTGCATCGGCATCTTAAAGGAATAGTCCATTGTGGCGTTAACAGAGGGGTGCCGGTGGTCAATTTTTTGGGTGAAAGAATGTTTAAAATTTCAGATTTAAGTGAAGCTGCAGCTCTTTACCAGCTGAATGAATAATCACTAATGGGAAATTTCCACACCCGGGTGGAGTTGAACAGAACCTGGACCCGTTCTGGGTGAACCTGCTGACACCATTCACGAGAACCTCAAGCTTGAGCTCTTCATATTCTTCCAGAACCATTGTGTATCTGAACTTCTGGATTTCATGAAGAGTTTCAGGTGTGATCCAGCACCAGTTCTGTGAGTTTATGGGTCAGGGTTAATGCTGCTATTGGTTGTCAATATTATAAACAACCAATAGCAGACTCCAGAAGATGTGACCGGCATGTAGTCACTATAAAAAAATCTGATTTAGGACCAAAGATCTTGATCGGTTGTGGTTTAGAATCTTTTAAAAATCTGATATGAGCCAAAGATTTATTGTGAATTGGCCCATTTTTACCTGCAGTGTGCACATGGCTGTAGTACTGGTTTCATTCAGAGGAACCTTTGGTTTCATTTACCTTTGTTTGTTTTTACAGGAAACAAGTAAATCATCCAAAAGCAGCTCAAAAAACAGCAGCAGCAGCAGCATTGGGAAGGATGGAACCTCAGAGAACTCTGATGAGGTGAGTCATCGCATTCAGTCCCGTGACCTTCACAGGACCATGCAGCTGCTGCTGCATGTTCGTAGAAATGCTCCTAAATACACAGCTGTGACCATGCATGCAAACAGCATCTAGTGGCAGAACTGGGGAACCACAATATTAAGGTCTCAGTCATCCACACGCATTCCACATCCTAAGATAATTTTTACCCATAATGGCATTTTTCTGGCCTGGCCTGGTACGGTCTTGATAGCGTCAGCCCGTTAAGTTAAAGTGGCAGTGTGCATTTTCTCTGGTGATAGGTGGCAATACATACCTAAATCATTGCAAGCAAGTGGTATTTTTGCCTTTGAGGAGAGTCTAGTTTATGTTTCTACATCAGGTCCTCAAGCAAGAGACGCACATGTACTGACGTCTCCTGGGAGTGTTGCAAAGCAATTCCCCATCAGGACAACAGTGGGTGTAGCGCTGTTCTGGGGTATCCTGTCATGTATCCTTCTTCATAGGCTCATAACCTGGGTGGGGCTGTCAGTTGGTTCTGATCTTATCTTGAAGACAGGGGTTATGTTGGTTCTATTCGTGATCACAAATCAAAGCTGATCACCGTGACATGTGGGGTCCCCCATGGCTCAATTCTTGGACCACTGCTCTTCAATCTCTATAAGCTCCCCCTGGGTCAGGTCATACACAATAACAACATTACTTTTCATAGTTATGCAGATGATACCCAGATGTACCTAGCTCTATCACCTATTGACTGTAGTCCTCTAGACTCACTCTGTCATTGTTTGGAGCAAGTTAATGGCTGGATGCAATCAAACTTCCTCCAGTTAATCAAAGACAAGACTGAAGTTATCAAGAACTGCTCTGGAGTGGTTCTCCTCTTATCTTTCTGAGCGCTCTTTCTCTGTGGCCGTCTCCAAGTTTAGGTCCTCCACCACCTCCCTTACCCATGGTGTCCCACAAGGTTCTGTGCTGGGGCCTCTGCTCTTCCTCCTCCATCTGCTTCCTCTTCAGCACATCCTGACCTCCTTCAAATCAATCTATCAATCACATTTTATTTATAAAGTGCTTTTCAAGCAAAGTGCTACTCATA